TCTTTTTCTTCCCTCTTGCTTTGTGGAGCTCTGTAGCTTGTTTCAGTTGTTCCTGTTTGGGCTCTTCATTGTCAATGTTAGATTCAGGTTTAACTTCTAGTTGATTTTCATTTTCATGTGTTGTTGGCTCTATAACAAACTCAACTTTTTCAATCTTTTTCTTCTTTGAGAAACTTGTTTCTCGACGACGTAATTTTTTACGATGACTGGGAACATCTGTACAAAAACATTGAGCATGAACATTGAAAATTAAGAAGAATTTTATCACTAAACTAGGCAAACTAAGAAGAATTTATCACTCTATTATGCAAATTAAGAAAATATATAACTGTATAGCAAAGTTTAGATTCCAAATTGCAAAAGAACATGAAGTATCATGATGAAGATAAAAACAATTGCATAGCAAATTTTATCACTGAATTAGCAAAGTAAGCAAATGCATCATTGTATAGCAAATGAACATAAAGGTATGATTATTATGACGTTGAATATCACTCATAAATTAATACTGTATGGTACAGATTCAAAAAAGCTTCAAGTCGAATTTTATCACTCAATTATAGTTATGAAAGAAGAAGGGAAGCAAACCCATCGTTATAACAAATTTTATCACTCAATTAGGAAAATTAAACAAATCTATCATTCTTACAGCAATTTTTCTCACTGATTTGGGCAAAGTAAGCAAATCTGGCATTGTATAACAAATTTTATCACTGGATTAACAAAAGTAAACAAATCCATCATTGTATAGGAAATGAACATGAAGATGTGGTTATTATGAAGTTGAATATCGCTCATAAATTAATACTGTATGGTACAAATTGAAAATAGCTTCAAGTCGAATTGTATCACTCAATTATAGTTATGAGAGAAGAAGGGAGGCAAATCTATCATTATAACAAATTTTATCACTCAATTAGGAAAATTAAGCAAATCTATTATTTTTGTAGTAAATTTTATCACTGAATTAGCAAAAGTAAGCAAATCCATCATTGTATAGCAAATGAACATGAAGATGTAATTATTATGAAGTTGAATATCACTTATAAATTAATACTGTATGATACACATTGAAAATAGCTTCAAGTCGAATTTTATTACTCAATTATAGTTATGAAAGAAGAAGAGAAGCAAATCCATAATTATGAAATAAGAAGAGAAGCAAATCCATCATTATAACAAATTTTATCACTCAATTTGGAAAATTAAGCAACCCTATCATTCTTATAGCAATTTTTCTCACTGAATTGGGCAAAGTAAGCAAATCTGTTATTGTAAATCAAATTTTATCACTAAATTAGCAAAAGTAAGCAAATCCATCATTATATAGCAAATGAACATGAAGATGTGATTATTATGAAGTTGAATATCAATCATAAATTAATACTGTATGATACACATTGAAAATAGCTTCAAGTCGAATTTTATAACTCAATTATAGTTATGAAAGAAGAACGGAGGCAAATCTATCATTATAACAAATTTTATCACTCAATTAAGAAAATTAACCAAATCTATCATTCTTATAACAAATTTTCTCACTGAATTGGGCAAAATAAACAAATCTATTATTGTATAGCAAATGAACATGAAGATGTGATTATTATGAAGTTGAATATCACTTAATTATAGTTATAAAATAAGAACGAAAGATGAATACGACTCACATTTGATTCGCATGTTTGTTGAAGATGAATTAAACAGGGAATATAGATCGAAACGGTGGAGGATTTGCTGGGGATCTGTTCGAAATCAGAATATAGATAGAAACAGAGGTGATTTCTTTGGAAACGATGGGAGATTCAGGGAAAATCTCTTTGTTTGTTTCGATTTCCAAATCGCAAATCGCCTTAGAATGGTTTCCAATCGCCTTAGAATAGTTTCCAAATCAGAACAATTGAGATAGTTTCCAAATCAGAACAATTGAGAAGGAGTGTGTGTTTCACGCGCACAAGGGAGACCTCATGATATGTTCTTTGCTTCACGCGTGTGGTGTGACATGGAGGGGTAAAATTAGAAACTGAAATAGGGCAGGACTTGGTGGGTATTAATTTGTTTGCATGGGACCGGCTGGTAACTCCCCTTAAATAAAATACACACTTTTCAAAAAGAATTTGAGGGTAATTTGTTTTCTTTTTTTGTTTTTTTTTCTTTTTTGGGGGTTTTCTTTTTTTTTTTTTGAGGAGGGGTTGGACTGAGCCTCCAACTTTGGGCTTAGCAGTGCTGGGGACTCCCAATGGGTGGTGACCCCCAGCACCCCCAGCTCCACATGGCCCCCTGTGAGAGCAAGATTTAAATAAAAAAAAAATAAAAAAAATAAAAAAAACAATTTTGAGCCAATCAGAAAACAGTGACGGTGGTGGGATCACCCCCACTGGGAGTCTGAGATAATTTTCTTTTGGGATATGGTCTATTTATAAACTCCTCAATAATAAGACGTTGTTAGGCATCAAGTTAATTTTTTTTAGTGATTATTTAAAATAAAATTAAAAAAAATTACTTTTTTGATTCATCTAATGTGGGAAAATCTGAAAAGTAATAACAAATTTAAAAATATTAAAAAAAATAATAAATATAAAATAAAATCCAACTGACTTTTTTTTTTAAGATAGTTTTCTTTAATTTTTCTATTACTATTATCTTTTTGACCTTTTTGGTTCTAGTCGAGGAGATTCTAAAAATCTCAAAATTTCAAAAAAAAAAAAAAAACAAAACAAAACAAAATACTAAAAACAAAAAAACTCGATGAAAGTTACTAAAAAAATAATCCCAAACGACCCCTAGCACCATTGCCTCTGATAGTAATAAAACGGGTCAATTACACTGACATTTCTAAAACTTTTAAAAAATATATGAAGTTTTACAATTTTAAAATAAGTAGACTACCTCTCTCATTGTTTTAAGACTAATGCAAGACCAAAACGAAATAGCGTGAAAATACCCCCCAAAAAAAAAAATACATAAATAAAAATTTAAAAAAAAAAAGCAATTATACATTTTAGTTGATGTCAAACCAATGCTTGACTTCTAATTCTTATGGATGCATTTTACTTGGCTTAATACTCTAGCTTAATTAATACGGTCAAGTTTGATTCATAAGATTAATAGTGAAGTATTAATAATCTTATTAAATTAGTGTGGTATTTATTATCCAATTGGATTATATTCATTGGATTAATAATTCCACCCCTACCCTATTACTAATAATCCAACAAATTTGTTAGATTAATTATTCATTGGATTAATAATCTTAAATCAAAATGTTAAAACAAATATAGGATAATTGGGCCTACGGATTAATAATCTCAATCCCATACTCTAATCCACCCAATCAAACATGCCCAATGGGTGTGTTCGTTTTGGAGGATTAGGGGGTGTGATTGGACTATTAGTACCACCGGACTAATAGTCCATTGTTTGTTTTATTTTTTTTGCTCCGGACTAATAGTCTCTTCGGATTATTAGTCCTACAAATATGGGACTATTCTATCCCATAGGGGAGGGTGGGATAGAAACTATGGGATTGGTATCCTATGATATTATTTTGTGAAATGTCCATTTTACTCTCCATGCTATTACTTAGCAAACAATTAGAAAATGATAAAATAGTCTTTTGAATATTTATAAATTATTTTTTTAGTGTTGTTAATTTAAAATTATATATTAAATTATAAATTATAAATTTAATTTAATTAAAAATAATAAATTATAAATTATGGCTTTATAATTTTTTCAGTGTTGTTAAAAAATTAAATTTACATATTAAATAAAATTATTTTTTTTAGTATTGTTAATTTAAATTATATAGTAAATAAAAAATATAAATTATAAATTAAATTTATTTTAAAATAATAAATTATAAATTATGGCCTTATAAATAAATTTTTTGTGTTGTTGAAAATTTAATTTATATATTAAATAAAATTATTTTTTATTGTCGTTAATTTAAAATTATATATTAAATAAAAAAATATAAATTATAAATTTAATTTAATTTAAGGATTAGAGTGTGAGATTGGACTATTAGTCCACCGGACTAATAGTCCATTGTTTCAAAAGTTTTGCTCCAGATTAATATTCCCTCAAGACTATTAATCTCATATTTGTGGGACTATCCCATCCTATGGAGAGGTGGGATAGATACCATGTGATAACTCATCCCATGGGATTAAACAATGAAATTACATTTTTGCCCTCTAGTATTTAATTATGTATTTATTTTAATAAAATTCAAAAAAATTTAAATGTCCCAATTTAAAAATAAAATAATTTTATTTAATTTTTATTTTATTTTTTATTTTATTTATTTATTTTTTTTAAATAATTTTTTTATAGATATTTTATTGATGTTTTATTTTAAAATTTTGTTTATATTTTATTTAATTTCATTATTTAAATTTTAATAGATGTTTTATTTTATTTCATTATTTAATTATTATTATTTAAAATTAATTTATTTAATTTTTAAAAAATAAATTTATTTAATTGTGCATAAAATAAAATAAATTTTTATTTAATCTAGCTAAAAATAATTAAAATATTAAAACTATATTTTATATTGCTATTACTTAGTAAATAATTAAAAAGGATAAAATAATCATTTGAGCATTTATCATTTTTCATAATATCCCAAACAAACATTGAATTTACTAAAAATAATTCAATCTAGACATCTAATCTCATAACTAAACAAACATAAGATACAACAGGGACAATGTATCTCAAAACTAATAGTCTGATAGATTACAATCTCTTATTATCCAGTCCGTTCAAATAAATACACCCATAATTTGTTAGTGACCGTATGTATCCAAATTTATTTATACATTCTTACACTGAATGACGTATAATAATTCAATTATAACAAAACAAATATATATAAAAAAAAAAATAGAAAATTGTTTTTGAGTTCCGAAGCCAAGTAGGTAGTTGAGTGCTGACTTGAAGTTCACCAATCCAGAGGTACTAGTTAGTTACAGTCTCATAAGCATGCAAGGAGATTTTCACACAACAAAACCAAAAGACAGATCAATATATATATTTCTAGTTCAAAGCCTTTCAGGGTGGCTATAATCATCCATTACACTTCAAACAGCCGCAACTCAAGGATGAAAAACTCGAGACTCTTGAAACAGGAAACTTACCGAACATTATATTTTCACAGCATTCTTGTCAGCCAATCCATGCAACACATGAGAACCCAAATTTTATAGAATCAAGCTATCCTCCTATCCCTAGAGTTCCACTGCTACTCTGAGAAGAGCATGGATGGACCAACACAAATATATTATCCTGACTCACCTGTAGAGAACAAAACCTTGAGCAGTAAAAGCTAAGGCCGACAAAGTACTTCCACTATTATTTAAATTTCTATCCTGTACATATTTAATCTAGAAATATATATATATATGCAATCAAAGCAGCCTCTAGGGATTCCTTCGTACTTACGAACCACAGTATAGTGAAATAATTTGGGCTACTTGTCAAAAATTTATTTAGCAAATGAACGTGAGTCCAAACTTCTAGAAGTTATGGAGCCATTCACATGTAAAAATCACGGTTATCGAAGAACTCCCATCCATCATCCACCAGTGCCTTGCGATCATCTCCTGCTCTCTCCTCTCCACCAGAAGGCTGGTCGCCAACAGAAGGTATTGGGCTGGTTTTCTTTGGGGACTCGGATGAATCAGAAGGTATTGAGCTTGTTTTCTTGGGGGACTTGGATGACTCAGCATGTTCAGCAACCTGATCAGGTGCCATGCTCTTCACAGATGAGCTTGAAGAAGCTAATCTGCAGCTTGTTTGGCTGGAGGAAAGAGACTTGCTAAGTGGAACACGGTCATCAAACTTCTCTTTCAGCAACTTCACATCCTGACAGATAACAGATATCTCTCCTCTGCAGAGAGGAGGAAAAGAAAAGATAAATGGTTATAACCCGAGTTTATCAAAGACTAGATCTACATGCCCAAACACAATTTTCACAAGATTAAAATGAGGACACAAACAGGCCTGAGCTTAAAATGTTGAAACCACTAAAAAGGAGGATCAAAATACAAAAATTTTGTAGTTATTGCAAACTCCTCTAATTACGTCCCATCATCACATATTTATTATTTGCAAAATAAACAGAATCATTAAATTTGAATAGGAGAAAAAGTGTGTTTGAAAGTAGATTTTTTTGGTATGAAATTCTTTGCAAAGGATCATTCTAGCTATTTTATCCCATAAAAACTCTCAGCGAACACAAATCTACATCCTTACGCACACAACTAACACTAAAGCCTTACCAGATAACACAATTAAGCACTTGAAACTAAATGCATAAACTTTGCATGTGTTTAGATAGTTAATTTTCAGTTTTATCAAACAGGCCTCGAGACATCCACTCGGCCACTATGTCAATGGCACATTTTAGAAGTACAGAATCTGATGCATGCATGCATGCATGAACAATGCATGTGTGTGGCTATAGCTGTTAAGAGTTATAAAGAAAAGATGCACTTGACCCAACACTACATGCAACTGCACAGATACTTATCCAAAAATAACAAAAGTTGACTATAAATAAGAATGGTTGGAGAGCATGGCAAAACTTGAAACATCATCAGAAAAGGGGTCATTTTTATTAGCTAAAATGCAGTTTTATAGGTATCCCTTGGTCAAATGCCTTCATAGGAAAAGGGGGCAAAACCTATAGCACAAGCTAGCCAAACATCAAAAAAATTACAATGAACAGATGAAACTTACTGCAACATATCAACAACACGACCACGGTCCATGAGAAACTCCTGTAACTGCAATGGAAAAAACAAAAAAATGAGAAGATCAAGCCTTGGAATAAAATTACCTCCTTGGATTCACCCATAAAAGATAGTTTTATTACCATACATTAACATGCAGAAAGAATTACTACCTTGGAATTCTCCTCTGCTTCTTGCTTCAATACCTTTGACTCTTGAACCACCTTCTCCATGATGAGTTCTTGCTCAGCAAGTGCATTTCTTGCAGAATCTTCCTTTTCCATCTTCTCCTGCTCTGCTGCTTTCCTGACTTTTTCTGCTGCATCCAATCTTTCCTCTAGAGTTTGACGCATCTACAATAAATAAGAATGAAGAATTACAAAATCTGATCCTGCCTTTACACTAAAATCTGAAAACAGATACAAATACCACGAAGCAGAGACCTCTTCAGGTGAGTTTCCGAAAAAGAAAAACAACTCCATGAAAATAGTTTAAGAACCTAAACATAAATTCAACATTACAATAATAAAGAAAGGACACAAACAATAATGTAACATAGCCCTTCAACAAAAACAACCAATAGCATGTAAATATGAATACATTTTTTTTTAAAAAAAATACATATTAAACACCAATTCAATTCCGTTAAGAATATGTATAAAATTAATGACAGACAAATAAAATAAATTTGTTATACTATGTTGCAAAACCTCGAAAAGATTTTCTTCCACCAAAAAGAGACCTTTAAAAAAATTCAGCATACTATGGGTAGCTTCGCCAGGTATCAATGGCACCAAAAACTTGGCAGAGCTAATAAGCAGATTTCGCAGCAGTCATACAATGAGGCATGGGGTCCTGGGGACTCATTTGATAATGAGACAGATCAAACTAGATGTGTCACATGATAATCAAAGGGAGAAAATTAGAAGTAACTATAAGGAAAATATCACACATACCAGTATTTATCAAAATATATATATATATATATATATCATACATACCAAAACAACCATTCAGATTATGTATTACAGGAGCAACATGTTAAACAAACTATAGCACCTTAAAAAATTAGTGTAAAGTTAATCAAGATTAAATTGATGAAAGCAACAAACAAGAGTACATGATGAAGTAAATGTTAAAAGAACCTCATCAAGAACTGCAAGAGATTTATCCCTTTCATCTGACAAGCTAAGCAAGCGAGATTGAAGTTCCCTCACTTCAGTAGCTAGGATGGCCTTCTCTCCATATACTTCTCCCGCATGCTGCAATAAAAGAAAAGGAAATAGGGTCAATTTCCATCCTAATTACTCAAAGCACACCTAAATTTATAAATAATCAAAAGAGCAATTATATTGGATTAACAATACCCAACCATGTCATTTGCTTCCTTTGCATGTTGCAGCATTTTTTTGAGGTCCTCCATCCTGGTGAGAATATCCAAGCCCCCCCTAACAGCTTCCTCCTTGGCTTCTTCTGCAGCTTTCTCTTGAAGTTCCACTTCTCTCATCAAGCTGATAATTGACTCCATCTCCAAAAACAAGATTTTCTGCACCATGTTCAATAATTAGAATCCAAAACCTATCCAGTGCAAGAAGGAACATTTTCTAGAACCTAACACTGCTTTCTTTTTTTCAATCTCTATTGAGATGTTTTCGTTCATATGGTTAAAAAGACCACAGATGGCATGTTTATAAGTTGATCCTAACCTAACTAAAAATTAATAAGATATCCCACAGCCTCTTTAGTCGGATTACCCGTAAGGCATAATTTTGAGTCTGGGGAGAGATTTGAATATAAAACTAGATTTTGGGATCAAGTGAATGACTACACTCTGCCAAGGGCTCATTCTGAACAGGGCTTCATTCAACTCAATCAAAATTAAATAAACAAGTAAATAATACGATAAGATGACTCAGTGCACTAGATTCCCGTTAAAATGGAGTTTGGGGAGAGCAAAATATGTGCAGCATTTACCCCCATTTTCTATAGAGATTGTTTCCGTGACTCAAACCCACATTACCAAGGACGCTAACAGCGAACCTTACCATTGAGACAAGCCGCCATTATAAATCAACAATAGAATAATAAATAAAAATTCCTTACAATTGAAAATTCAAGAAAACTTTGCCAACCAAAAACAGATTAACTTTCCAACAGTTAAATGGAGTCTATGGGGAAAAAAATTTTTTTACAGATGTGGCGGGAAGAATGGCACATGAAAGCACAATTTTTCGGAATGCAAAAAACCATAGGATGGACATATGAGTCAGGTTAATCTACGACTCTATGTTCCAACATATGATGTACCACAACACTTCCCTTTTCAATTGACCACCTCAAATCAATGTAATAGTCTCTAAACGAGAGGACGATGTGCAGCCCCCCATGGTGTCAGATCCAGTGAGAATAAATGTCATAAAAATCATTAAAGATAGAAACTAAAATTGAAAATAAAATGCAAAAAAAAGTTATTACATTTAATCATCCACAAACCCTCCCAAAATGGACTTTGAGTTGGTGATCCAACAGCATAAGATGTTCATCTACTCTAATGAGTGCCGTAGGGACTTACATAATCAGGTTTATCACAAAGTTTTGGCTACATGAATTTCACAGGCAGGAAAGAATATATGAAGTAAAGAATATCAAATAAGGAAGAATTTCTGTAAACTTGCACTATTAGTAGTTTAAGATCATAATAAACAAATTGAAAAACTAGCAAGACTACCTTGTTATTTCTTGCATCTTCAATGATATCCTCAAGCAGATCAATTCTACAAACTTGCCCAGATCGAGTAACCACAGTGTTCAAGGTAGGCTCATCCTCAAAATCAACCATTTCACCAGAAGAGATATCTTTCGTGGAAGCATCATTGAAAGTACCACTTGATTCTGGTTTCTCGTGATCACCATTTATAACTGCTAATTGAAAGCTGCCTTCTGGAGCATCTGGTTCGCACTCTTGGATGGGTGATGGAGCCACCTTAACCACAAAATTCTCTACCTCCGATTGATTAACATCTAACCGTGATTGTTTTTGACGGCTTTCTTCATGGACAACCATATTCAAATCATAAGCACTTGGACAATTAAAATCTTCTGAACCAGCCAACTGATTGCCACTCACAGTGCCATTGGTACAACCAACAACATGTTTTGAAGTGGTTGATGAAACATGTGAACCCTGATCAGATCCAACTTTGAGCCCGCTCAACTCCTGCAGTAAAATAGTTTCCTCACTTTCTGTGTTTACACCATTGCGATCATCATCTGCACTATTTTTTTGTTCCATGGTGATTGGTGTGAGATGGGAGGTTACATCGGGGCCAACTTCGACATTGCCATCCTCATGCTTCCCTAATGAAACCAAATCCTCATTTCCATCATATCCACATACTTGATCATGATCACCATCAGCATCATAAAATGGAGAACCATTTAATGTCTCAACGGGCTCATCCAAATTTTTTGAATCCATTTCAAGGGTATTCTCTGTACAACCAGGGTGATATGCATCTTCCACAGCTACTGAGATCCACAAATAACATCAACCGCATCAGTTATAAAAGTTGAAGAAACATGGATTTCACTTCATGACCAATGTAGCAGTATATAATACAGATAAATATATTTGATAACTTCAATCTAACCTGAGAGAGTTAGATTTAAAACTGCACTAGCATTCCAATTGAATCAAGAGTAATTTTCTGATAGATTCAGCAAAAACTCACCTTCATTGGAAGATCCAGAGGCCGACGCGGCTCCTTTGGATAAATATGGGATAACCTCCACAACAACAGCCTCCACAGCTGCATCAGCATCCTTTGAGTGCTCAATGGCAACAGCCCTCAGCATGCGGGTATCCACCTGTTTGAATCAATATTTAAAAAGTAGTTCCAGATGATAATAAAAAGAACAGGGAAAGGATTTTGACCATATTCCTTGTAGGGGAGGGGGTTACATACCACAGGAAAAGGAAAATGCATTTTACCCCCAGCTGGGGGTGACACCCAGTGAGGTGTCAGCTGGGGGTTGGTCCGAAAAAAACAGTTTTTCTTTTCTTTTTTTTTTTTTGATTTTCGACCAGTGGGGGCGCGACCCCCACTGGGTGTATGAAGCAAAACCCGAAAAGGAAAATATAAACCAAATAGTCAGTGATGAGAAATGTGGCTTCAAGAATAACTTTTTAAAAAGACCCTCAGAAACATGTTGGTTTAATTAACAGCAGGTACTGAACCAAAGGATTTTAAAATGATTCAGCTAATCACAATAAGTAGTAAAGAAAATTTATTTTATATTTGATTAGTAAACTGTTAATGAACCACAAACTTCAGAATCTCCAAAAAAATAAAACCATAAATAATCTCTAGAGAATACTAAAAAGATAACCCAATAAATTACATAATTAAGAACAGAATGCTTAGTGGTGGTAGAGCAATTATACCTGGGGAAAGACCTCCTGCAACACACGATAAACTGAATTGAAACCCATCTCCCACAGCTATCAAATCTGCAAAAAAACAAGCCAAAAAAACCAAACCAGGAAAATCACTTTTTTTATTATATTACAAGAATATAAACAAGTAAACAATGATAATAAAGGAAGCAGAAAGAAAAAAGGGGGAACACACACACACACATGCTAATACAATTCTATTTGAAAGATCAAGAGAAAACAACACACGTATAAAAACCCTAGCTCTCTGTTTGGGAAAACTACGCCACAGTCAGTCGGATTTGGGTCATCGGGACAGGAGACTTCTGATTTCTCGAGTCCCAACAAGAAAAAACAAAAAAGACACAAAAAGGAAGGTTCAATTCCTTTTCATTTTCTTTTCCTATCTTTTTTCCCACCAACCAATCAAAGGCGCAAATGTGGGAAACAATCAAGATCGCAATTTTCAAGAGAAACTCACAGAAACCCTAGAGGCGATCAGAAGGGTTTGATTGAGACAATCGTAACAAACCTTTTGAGCGCGTTGTTAGCTTATCGCTGTCGAGATATAGGTGCGTGAGAGAGAGTAATTATCATCAGTAAGCAGACAACAGCGTTTGAGAGAGAGAGAGAGAGAGAGAGATATTAATTTATGAAGTGACGTCTCCAGAGCAGACCTTTGCAGCTAAGTTACTGGGTATTTGTGTAAATTTAGAACTCGTGCGAGGGTATTTTGGCCTATTAAATAATGGAGGCTGTTGGGGCTTCCCGGAGCTTCCAATTCCACGCGCGCACTACTTTTTCGCATTTTCAGTTCACACTAGGGGTGTGGACAAATAATGCATCGGACCGGGCTTCGACCGGATTTGCACTTTATATTAAGTATGGGAAGACTAAATAAATGTATTTTTTAACTTTTCTTTTATTATGTGTAAAAAAAGTAGAGAGGAGATGTTGATTGATGTGACCTAAAAAAGATAAAAAGATGAAATAAGTGCATTTTTTTAGTTTTGAAAAAATTCCTGATAAATTTTAGTTCATCTAATTTTAAAATAAAATACTTATATCAATTAGTTATATATATTTTTAATTATTATTAAAAAAATTCTATTTTATTTTTAAATAATTTTAAAATACTGCTACATTCTACCACCGTCGAAATTTCATTAAACGGTCATCGAAAACTCATCGAAATGTTTAATATCATTGGAAAGTAGCCAGAATATTACCAAAAATTTGTCAGAGTATCGCCAGAATATTCTGAATGTCATCGAAAGTCGTCGAAACGTCTAGAATGTTCGCTAGATGTCAATAATATTGTCGGAGATTCGCCAGAATGTCTAAAATATTATGGGAAAAAAATAAATTGAGAAATTAAAGTAAAAAAATATAGCAAAAGGTGTTAAATATTAATAAACTGAAAAAATAAGAAAAAAAAACTAAGAACAACAAATAGTAACAATGGAAAAAAAAATGTTACTTTCAATTTTTTGGGATTTAATATTGATCAAAGTAAAAAATAAGCTTTAAAACTATAAGATGTTACAGTTTCAAAGTATAGTTCTATTAAGTATTTATCCTTATTAATCAAACTGAAAAACATATTATGAAATTGAAAAATTTTACAATTTTAAAGAAAGTTGTGAAACTGCAAAATTTTACAGTTCTAAATAATAATTAATTTCAACCAAAAAATAAAACTAAAATTGTAAAATTATACAATTTTTACTACCTGTAATTAAAACTCGAAAACAACTTATTAAGAACTTAAAAATTTGCTCCTTTATAACAGGGAAATAGAAGTGTGTAGTATAGAAAAATTATTAAAACTGAGAGATTGAAGAAAAGAGATAGATATAGAGAGATTCTTGTCTTTTGACAACTATTTTTTGGCTTAGATATAATTAGATTCAACAATGATTCATCCCCCCTTTTTTCCTCACCCCCTTTGACCCCCTCTCTTTCTCATTGGTTACATTTTCTTTTTCTTTTTCTTTTTTTTCCTGCTCCTCCAATCATCACCCGCCACGTGGCAGAGGGGGGTGACCCCCAAAAGGGGGTCCCAAGCATTATTCAATCAGATTTAACGTAGATCTACATTAAATTTGAATAGATCTACTTATCCTCTTTGTTGGAAACTCATTTTATTTCGCCGTTAGTGAGCACAAAGTAAGGAGTTGGTGCTTGGTAATTGCCCGCAAACCCCAATCAATGGTGGTTGTCAATATTGCCCGCAAACCCCAATCAATGGTGGTTGTCAATCGCCGGGGACTGTAGATTAAAAAGAGAGAAAACAAGGAAGGCGTGGTTGTGGTTGTGGTTATGGTAATGGTCATCGTCGCCAATATTAGAGAAAGAGGAAAGAGAAAAGATAAATGGATATAGGACTTTTGAGACTATCTAAAAAAATTTAGGATTAAATAGAATACACACTTTTCAAAAATGACTTATGGGTAATTTGTCCATAAATTTTTAGTTTTAGTGAAAAAAAAATTAATGAATTATTATAAGTTGTCATATCACTATTTTTTTTTGTACATATTTTTTTATAAAAAAAATTAAAAAATTATTAAAATAATCTGTTCCCAAACGAGAATAATAAATATATATGTATTATTTCAAATTCCAGCTAACCCGATCTTGGATTTAATTTATCTATCTCAAGTTCTATCCGAAAATAAATTTTAAATTCGTCCATTTAATTCAATAGATATGGATTATTATTTATTTAAGTCTCATCTGAGAATGGACTATTTTAATTGAAGATGTGTATAATTGTAGAGAAAGTAATATAATAACTTATAATCAGTGTGTTTGGTTTGAATTTTTTAAATTAAGTTTTTTGAAAATTGAGTTTTTTAGTTTTTGTGTTTTTTTGTTTTTAGTGAATATTTTTAAAATTTTAAATATTTTTTTTCTTTTTTTACATGCACCTTAATTAGATGTATCTAAAAAGTAAAAAATTTGTGAAAAAATATTTTAAAAATTAATAAATACAAAAAATGTACTGAATTCTCGTATATTTTTATATTTTTAGTATTTAGTGAATTTTTAAAAAGTTTTTTTCATTTTTTTTTTACTTTTTAGGTATATTTATGTTAGGTATGTCTAAAAATTAAAAAAATTGCTCAAAATGTTAAAAAAATTCAGTAAAAACAAAAAAACACAGAAAATAAGAAAGTAGAATTTTCTGAAAAATATTTTTAAAAAATGATAACCAAGCATAGTGAATAGTTTTTTTGTTTTTTTATGCTTTTTGTTTTTTTTTTAGAATATTAACAAAATTAATTATAAAATAAAAATAATTTTTTAATAAATATTTTATTTTAACAATATACAAAAGTATATATATATATATATATATATATTATTTTTTAGCTAATTTTGGAACAAAATAATATAAAATTAAAATTTATATTTTATAAATAGACTGGTCGGGTTAGGTTTGGATTAAGATTCTTTATTCCAAATTCAATCTTAAAATTAAAAATTTTAACTAACCTAATCTTATGACTTGAATATTTTTTTTCTAATATCTAAAAATATTGGGTTAGACTAGATAGGCTATCGGACTCATAGCAACCTCTAGTTCACACACTATTTTTTGTGTTTAATTTTGATGTCTAAATAAAATTATATGATTTGAAAATTAACTTCTTAACAAGTTATTATTCAAAAACAATTTTCGTGCAAAATATATACATATATAATTGTATTATAAAGTTTCATTCAGAGGTTAAAGTTGTATGCATTTTTTTTTTATTAGTTTGATGATTATATATGAGCATGAGAGGATAATTTTTGTAAAAATTGGGCAGAGCTGGGAGATAGTCATTATGGCCCACAATACGAAGGGCTGAGTAAAAAGGCCGTAAAGTTACTCCGGCCCAAGAGAGGTACAAAATTACTCCGCCAGAGATAAATATAATGTTACTCCGGTCCGGAAGCGACTTGGAGTTAGGCCAGTCTCAGAGTTAGTCCGGTCATGGCATATTGTGGTTAGAACAGTCAAAACCTTGCTACTCGGTAGCTCGGTCTAAACACACCATGGTTCGTACATGAGAAAACCGAGATAAGGTGTAGCGAAAGGAAGAACCGGACTAATGATAGTTTGGCCTACTCCGCATAGCCATGATTACTTCGGTCATGTTGGAATTCGGCCATGGTAAAAACCATCTCACTTGGTTTAAGCAGTGAGGGGAGTGTTGAAGGATAAGCATTATCTTTCAGAAGTATAAATCCTAGGAGGACTCTGCATGGAGGAGTAGAAGTCCTACTAGGATTATACCATACGAAACCTATAAAAGCTCACAAACATCACCTTTGGAGAGGTAACACACAACTTTGCTTTCTGAATACACAGAGCTTTTGTCTATTTGTCAAGCTTACTGACTTAGGCATCGGAGAGGTTTCCGGTACACACCCGCCGGCTAGTTCATGTTTGTGTTTTCAGGTGATAAAGCGACGACGTACGGAGGAGCGCAGACTTGATCAACAGGATTATACGAGAAGGTTTATTTCTTTCCCGTACAATCGGCGCCGTCTGTGGAAAAAACAGACAGAACAAAACCTCTTGATTAAGCCTCTCCTCTTTACAGACAATGGCGCACATTGAAGAATTGCCACATTCCGCCATCGACGGACAAACTCCAGATGGGGGCGCTAGGCGTGAAGGATTACCTTATATCCCTCCCATGGCGGACCTGGAGTCCCAACGACATAACCCCAGGAGAGATACTAGGGCGAGGCGGACTAACAGCCCCCGTCACTCTCGTTCGCAAAGTCCTGACAGGCAAAGGCGGAGGATTGATCCTCAAGCTCTGGAAGACCGCGTGAAGGAGCAAGATGAATTAATAAGAAAGATGGCGGCGGACATGGAAGCCTTGAAGCGCCAGATGAAGGGAAAAGAAGTGGCGACAGGAGAGAGGCGCAAAAACAAGACGCCCCCTCGCCACTCAGAAAATCGTAGTAAGAATACCACACCCTCGCAAGGAGAGAGCAGAAGCCTCAGGACAGGCGATACTCAATCCAAGTTTTCCAGAACTCGTCACTCCAAGTCTGAGAGGACGAGATTTGAAAGATCATACACTGAAGGAAGCATGTATTGGCCCTCACATACGCACCAAACCAGATCTAGACAGACAGAGTTACCTAGATCATCCGATTTACGAACCGTACTCGAAGAAAAGGCACGATACAAGGAGGATGCCAGGGTACGGGATCCACATAGAGTTTCTGCTTTACAGCGGTTGGCTCCTCGGACGCATGGAAGCGTCAAGGTTGGAATGCCAATACCGCGCCTTGCCTACGAACCAACGGACAAAGCACTAGCAAGGCTGCACACTTCACCGTTCATTCCGGCGATTGAAAACGCGCCCCTACCATCAGGCTTCCTTCAGCCCAAATTCACTACATATGAAGGGAAGACGGACCCCTACTCACACTTGAGCCACTTTCGCCAGGTCATGGC